ATTTTAAATATTCAGAACAGAATTCCTCTCACCATCACACTTGGACACTCTAAAATAACTTCATAAAATTTAAAAAAGTATCTTCCTCACTCCAGTTTCCATAGTATCTTGTTATATACTCTACCACACAATACACTGCACACACAGCCTGAAGTAAAATCAGATCAAAGTAAATCAAGTGAACTCATGGTCTTTTGACACACAAATTGGAAAATTATGACACTTGAAAAATAAACAATTTTTAAACAAATTATACTGGCAAGACCAATATCAAATATACTGTATTTAATTTTCAAAATCAGATGCACAAAGTATTTTTCCAATGATTCATTAAATGTACAATTGAAAGCTGCACATCTTCAGAAAAACCTACATAAGTTAGAGTGTACACACAGAACATTCATTCAAAATCTTCTGGTATAGATAGGTTGAATATCTAATTCCTTATTCGAAATGTCTATAGCTTAAAAGTACATGAAAAAGTTTTACAAGGAGATGGGGGCAAACAACGAGCACGTTACAAATTGAAATAAAAGTATTGCATTTGACACAATTTACTTCCCACAGAAATGAGAAACTCGAACAGTTTATTAGGAGAAAGAATGCCAGTGTTGCCCTCACTATATGGGATAGCTAGCGGATTATGTACAAATGGTCAAAGCAGGAAATGACAAGAAACAGAAGAAAGAACAAAATTCTATAAAATCTTAATTTGCCATTCTCAAAGTGAACACATAACTATCCTACTATTCAACACTCATGTAATGCACCCAATGTACTTTTCCATGTACCAGTACATCAAGTCCATGGCACAAAGAAATAATCACCAACTCACAGGCTGTCCTCGGACTTTAACCTCTTGTGTGGAGAGATGCCTTGCAAACGAGCATCATTTGGCCGTTTTGCAGCCAAACCCTTCACCTGAGTTGATGTGTCTTGCAACCACCTTACTTGGGTAGCAGGACCATAACCCTTTTCATTGCGGGCTGCTATCCTGAAGATGATAGCAGGCTTTGTCGTCATGTCAATATGCGCAGCGGATAATGAATTATTTGCCACAGTGCATTGGTTCGCAGGACCAGAATATACTCTAACAAAAGCTAACTGAGTAGGAGTACTTGACACGGTTTTGGTATCGCCCTGTGCCTGTGAAGTAGCATTTCGGACAGCCAAATACACTGAATATTCAACAATTTCACCCGATGTGCTTGGAGGAGGTTCCCATGATAAGTGTGCTCCTTCCAGCGATTTAGAAATTTTTATTGTTGAAGGTGCACCAGGGAAGCCAGGCAAACAGGTCTTAAAAGCAGAAACTTCACTCCAAGGCCCTTGCCCACAGGAGTTTATTCCTGCCACTCTGAACTTGTATGCTGTCCCAGGTTCCAAAGGCATTTTCTTACAGCGACTGTAATCAGGCAACGATTCTGTGGTAAACCCTCTACTACTTTTGGGTATCAGTTGCTCTCCTTCAGGAGGAAGCAAATATGTTGTGACAGTGAAAGATGTGCCTTTTGTTACTGACACATCAAACCATGGGGCAAAATGACTCTTTGTTGGAGAAACAGTAGGAGTCTGTGAAAGAGAAGCCGGAACTGAGAGGGGTGTGCCTGTTGAGGGAGCCAGGAGCTGAGAATTAGAATTATCCGGCAACTCTGATTCATCCTTAACTCTACAATCAGCAGCAGGAGAGGGTTCTGCTTTGGGTATTACACTGGGTGATGGCTCAGTCTTAATTTCATTCTTATCCTCTGGTTTCACTTCTGTTGTAGCCTGATTGCATCCAAGAGCTGCTGTAGCAAGGGTACTCAGAGGGTCTGTTTCCATTTCTTCTGATTTTATACTATTTAAGAGAGATTTTGCATCTTCGTGCATATTAACATCAGAACCATTTGTTTCCTGCTTGGCCTTAAGCAAGTCAACTTCATCTTTACTTCTCAGCTCACCACTCAAAAGCTTTTGCTCCAAGTTAATATCAATATCTTCTTTCTTGACATTAATCAGATCTGTGCCTTCGTTTGTTTCCATATCTACACCTTTAGTTGCTTTTTCATCAACAGATGCACATGACTGGTCTTCTACAAGATTTTCCTGGTTTCCAGGCTGTACATTCGTTGTATCATTTGTACGATCACCAAAACCACTGAACATGTGTAAAGTTTGCGCTCCTTCATTGTGAGCACTTGCGAAGGAATCAGCAGCAGCTTGCAGGCTGTTGGGGTCCTGGAGAGGATCTGGTTGTTCTTTCAAGGCTTCTGCGTCAGTATTTTCAGGGATTCTAATATTTTCTTCATCTTGTCGTTGCTGTTCATCACTAACCACTCCTTCTGACGGAAGAGTTCCAGGATTTTGATTGGCATTTGCTTCTTCCCCTGGGCCATTCGCAGCTTCTACACCTGTCGCTGGATTTTCTTCAGCAGGCTGCTGCTCTGCTCCAGTAGCTGAGCCTTCAAATGCCTCACTTGCTCCTGCATTTTCAGTAGGTACTCCTTCAGGAGCACTTTCTCCTGCAGGTGCTGTAGAGTTCTCAGCAGATGGATCCAACAAAAACGCTTCTGCAGTTAAAGCTGCAAGAGCATCATTAGAAACTGGGGGTTCAGCCGGAGTAACAGTGGCAGGAGCCTGTCTATTACGAGAGAGCATTACGACCCTAGGTGAAGCTGTAGATGAAGATGTTTCAATACCTTGAATCAAGTTTGTAAGTGAAGCAGCTGGCACTACAGTAGCCCCACTGTTTACATTTGCATTCTGAACAGCACTTGCACTTGGCATTAGAGTAACCGTCTTCTGACCACCTGTTCCGGTGGTGACTTGCATGGTCAAAGGCTTTCCTCCTAAAGTAAGAGCTCTTTGCAAGCCTTGGGGAGGAACGGTTAACATCTGGGTTCCTCCTGCAGGTTTGGAAGCAATTGTCACTGTTTTTGGAAGGCCACCTTGTTGACCAGGGACAGTTATAGTGATGGGTTTTCCTGCAGTCCCTCCTGCTACAGCTCCAGAAGAAACAACAATCATTTTTACTCCACTAGGTTGGGTACTACTCGAGGATACAGATGCACCAGTACTTGGACTAGTATTAAGAAGTTTTACTATTCTAGCTCCTTGGGGAATAGTTTTTGCATTTGCTCCTTGCAGAGTTGTCCCAGGTTTACTCTGAATCAGACTAACCTGTGGGACTTTGGCCACTGTCATTCCCTGGCTGGTCTTAACAAGTGTAACTATCTGAGGAGTTCCTGTTGCACCTTGGGCTCCAGGTTTTTGGAGAATGATTTGTGGCTTCCCTTGAACTGTCTGAGGAGTTGCCTTTAGCACTGTTCCTCCTGGCCCTGCCAATCTGACAGCTTGCCCAGCAGGCACAGATCCAACTTTCACTGCGTTTGGTGTCTTTATACAAATGGCACCACTAGTGTTTATTTTCTGAGTGGCAGCTGCAGCAGCAGCCAAAGCCTGAATGCCTGACATCTGGCCAGTCTGATTGGCTTGGCCAGAATTAGGTGCTGCAGCAACTGGTACAGCAGCAACAGTAGTGGCAGTTGTGGGGACAACACGCTTTGTTGGGCTAGTTAAACCAGTTGTTCCTACAATATGCAAGCCAGGCTGCCCTGCCACAGGTGCACGAACCCTTATGAAGTTACCAGTTCCTTTCACACCACCAGTAGTTGTTATAGGCAAAGTTGACCGAATGAGAGTAGTACCAGGGGCTTTCACTAAAGGACTCTGCAAAGTTGACACAATAGTTGTTTTAGGAGTTACTTTAGGAGAGGCTGATGCCTGTGTAAGTACCCCAGCTCCAACCACTTTAGCAGGGGAACTAATAGGTGTGGCTACTGATGATGTAATAGAAGTCACATTTGATGTGAGGTTTTGGAATGTCGGAAGAGAATTCAAAGCTGAATTGACAGACTGGGCATTTGATGCATCTGCACTGCCGGGTGATGCGAGTACTGGCGCACTAGGGTCATCAGTAGTCATGGCATTTGGAAGCATTGGCTCAGGGTTGAGTGGAGGCTGAGCTGGAGTAGGAGATGATGAGGCATTCTGCTCCAAGGCTGGTGAGGTTAAAGCTGTCGGAGCTGCAGAGGCAGGACTTCCCAATTGAGAAGCAGGTGTGATTCCTGTGCCTGCAGTTGCAGGTGACTGGACTGAAGCAGGTGGCGTCAATACCAAAGGAGAAGGCTGAGTCGTAGGCAAAGAAGCAAGAGGTGGTGGTGGTGGTGTGGATGTTGGAGCAAGAGGGGATGGCTGCTCATTTGTAGGAATTGGCTGAGTTGCTCCTGGCTGGTTAGGTGTTACAGGAGCATTTTTTGTCCCTGGAAGTGAAGCCAAAGCAGAACTAGGAGGCATGTCGTAACGTTGCATTTGCAGGATGTATGTATCAGCAGTAGGAGCACCTCCCCAGCACACTTCCAAAGACTGAGTTGAAGCTCTCACAAGTTGCACTCTCCCAGGTTGAGCTGGCACATCAACTTCCAAGTACCACAAGTCTTTACAACAAACTTGGTTATTCCACGCTTTGCGATATCCATCACGACCAGACCACACATATAAACGGGTGTGAATACCAACTGCACAGTGACCAGCCCGAGGGCGAGGAATATTCTCATATGTGTCTACTGCCAGCTGCTCCCAACATAATTTCTCTAGGTTTAACGAAGCCAATGTATTTGTGCATTTCCACTCTTTCTCATGAGTTGCAACTTTTACATCATCCATAACAAGCGGAACCCACCCACCAAATACAAACATTCTATGGCCAATGAGAGTAGCACTATGAAGAGACCTAGGTAATGGGGGAATCCCCTTCACAGCAGGTTTATTCCAAGTCATTGTATCACATTCAAGAAACCACAAGTCACCCAGACGGCAACCACTCATTCCCCCATATATAACAAGACGAGATTTTTTTGTGGTTTTATCAGTGTATGCCACCCCTGTATGAGATTCACGAGGTGGAGGGGAGGTACCATGTGTTTGGGGAAGGTCCCAGGCCGTCGAGTTGTTCCCCCTTAGTTCTAAAGTGTATAAATCATTCAAATATCGGGGAATATTATTTTTAAGGTCATCACTGTCATTTGCAAGACCTCCAAACAAATACACTTTATTATTAATGAGAGTAAAACTATGACCAAGTCGAGGGCAAGGTGGCGCACCATGCTTTGGAGGACGGGGCTTCAGGCGCTTCCACTCCCATCGACTTGCCTGCAACTCATACAACTCATTTGAGTATTTTCCATACTCCACCATTCCACCAAACACAAGGATCCTCGTTCCATCCACAACAAAACCATATGCTGCACATCCTGGAGGAATGTCCCCTTTTGTAACAGGTACAAACCATTGGTTTGTAGCAGTATTGTAAACATGGAGCTCATCAACAATCCCTTCATTTCCACCACCAAACACAACCATTAAATCCTTGATGGCAACAGCTCGATGTCCATGCCGAGGTCTTGGCTGCGGTCCTGTTGGATTCGTCACTCGTTTCCACTTCATGGCAGCAACGACAAGAAAATAAAAATTGTTATTGGATTACATATTCTGTATTAATATTAAAACATAATTTATTAAATTACAAACGAAAATTTTATTGGAATCAAATGTTTTTGAAGGAAAACTCTTTTTTGCTCTATCAAAGAAATTAAAATTACAACATTTTTAATTCAACAGCTAACAGTTTAATATTACCACAGCAAACCCTGCTATACAAGATTTTTGAGAAATTTGAGCAATTCCTTCAATATATCTGTAATACTCACCTCACACTGCAACTGCTCTACATCACCTTCACAAGCACTTGTCTCCATGTCCCCCATGCAGACCCGAGGGTCTGCCTCTACCATCACCTACCAACAAAAATTGCATTTGGTATACATACTAAAATTATTAATTAATTTCAACACACTGACAATTATGAAACAGGCATTGTTGGGGTTTGGAATTACAATGTTGGTAGCAAAACATATGACGCTAATAACAGGGCAGTGAAGAAAGTAAATATTGCAATTAATTGTCCAATTTTGATTTGTATTGTAAGATGGTGTCAGAATCAGAAACATTTGCTTATTATTTAGTAATAATAGATAAATTATTTTGAAATAGTTTTCACCCAGTACAACTTACAACATATTTCAAATTGTCTTTCAAGCTCATCATGGGTGACAAATAGTGCATTTTTTATTTATTAGTTAGCAAATGAGCTTGTGTCCTGAAAAGACTCCAAAGAGCAAGTTGCAACATTTACAATTCTACTGTACATATTTCAGTTTTCTCATCAGATCTTTAATGAAAATTATTAAAACATAAGAATAATTTTGGTATGATACCAACTAGCATTACAGGTTCATTACACACAACTTTCTTTCACGTTCTTAAAGAAATAATTACTATTATTTCTTATGTGCTCACTTTACTTCCAATGGTCTTACACTACATGTGCAATGAAAAGAAAAAAAACTCAGATCTTTGCAATAATCTTCTCCATGACCTTCCCCAGTGCACTTTAACAAGCTGATAATCTAAAAATTTCTTGACAAAAGTTTGCCTCCTTTCTTGAATATTCATGTAACTGCATCATATTTCCATGGTTTGCCCAACAGATACCAGTTTCCTTTGAAGAATCACTTCAATAGTGGTGGACACTTCTTTAGAAAAACCATTGGAATGCAGTCTGGGTCAGAACATTAATCCAGTGTTTGTAGAATTAGAGCCTTTTCAATACCTGAAATAGTGATGATTGTGATGTCTCCCTGCACCACATTAGGTAAATCATCCATTCTGCCGTGTAAACATTCTGAACAACTTGCAAATACCTTGCGATTCATTGGCAGTTTATTTTGCTATCAATGTTTTTAATATGTTACAACACCTCAGATTTTGTTAAGATTTGTCAGATTTTCTACTGATGTGTCATGGAGATCATCAATAGATCTGGCATAAATATCAAGTGCTTCATTTCCAGGCACTATTTACATCATTAGGCCACCTTCTCGTCTGACTTGTCACAGTAATGGAATATCCAGGTAAGTTGATGAGAAAATTAGTTATATCTGCATTTAGCCATGACTGTTTTAATGTTAATGTTTGGAATGACAACTTGAGTTTGTAATGATATTAAGTCAATTTTGATCTAAGAAATATTCGTTGGTGGGAGGGGGAGCACAATAGGTGTGAAGAGACAGGAGAAGAAAAAAAGCATGACTCAAAGACAGATTAAATCCATTCCTTGTGGAACTGTAAAACGTTAAGATAATTGAAATTTTAGACAATGATTTCTGGCCTAAAAGCAATTTATAGGCCTCATATCGCTAAAGAAATTCAATCTGTGCAGTTCAGTAAGAAACCAAATTTCCAAATCTTAGTTACCTCGCCAGTAAGCCCAGCAACAACACTACTCAGTACGAATAAAAGTTTTATTGGCATCTCAATTGTCAAAACACACCACAGTAATTTAATCACTAACAGGTGCTTTTGTTATTTATTATATGCATGTGATTTTGAAACTTTATTTTCAGGAAAATATTACAAGAAATGAAAAGAATTAGGAATTTGTTATCGAGTACAATCTTTCAGTGCCATATAAAAATAATTTATACAGAGAAAAATAAAACAAAAGAAAAATTCAAGATACTGAATCAGCAATGAAACAAAATTAATCCCATACTTGATGCATGGATGCAGTTTCACTTAGAATTTTCAATAAGTATTGAAATAAAGATGAAAAAAGTTGAAGAGACAAATTATTGATATTACTAACATCTACTAGCCTCAAAACAATATAAACCCATAATTTTCCAATATTTGTCATTTCAAACACATAGTTTTAATTTTATTTTTTAAACACATTCTTTCATTCTTATGTCCTATTTGTTATTTTCATTATAGAACAATAATAATTTTAATTTCACTTATTTCATAATTAGTACACTATTAAAATGAATTGTCTTTCTTGATACCAAAAGAATCTTTTATTGTCCAAACTCTAATTAAGATGTGATACTATATATTATAAGTATAGTCAATTTTTCCAAATTGCACAAGAAATCAGATAAACAATAAAATGAACTTGTGCATGTTGTGGACACTATTAATTCTATATTAAGAACTAATAAGATGTAATTGTAATAATGTGGTAAAACGTTTTACAAAGTAAATAATAACAGGTCACAGGAAATTGTTCAAAACCCCCCAACTATACTAAGAATTGACTATCCTCTGTAGAGGATACAGCATCTTTAATGAACAGAAAAAATAAATAAAAACAGATTATACACAAAAGGATAAATACATGAAACCTTCCTTTTCTTGAACATACTGTAGTAAACAAAACACCACTAAAAGATAATTACACCTTTAAGTGGGGAAAAACATAATCTTGGTTGCCATTATGGAGTCAGAAATGTAATTCAGCATGTTCTGAAAACATTGGACTAAAATGGGAAGCAACAAGAAAATAACCTCCATATTTGTCTTACTAACTGTTAGCATGTATACATTAGGTACATAATCTTAAGCATTGCAAACATTTAAAAAAAATGGAGTTGTATAAATAAAAAATAACACTTTAATATAGGATCTATGGCCCTATGTTTCATTGCCTTACTGGTTTTGGTAGCAATTAAACTTAGCTATAAACATTGAAAGGATAGATATTACTTTTTTTTAATGGGGAATTTCTTAGTTAATAAATAATTTGAACTCTAATTTATTAACATGATTTACAACATTTTATTTTGATTTCTCCAATTCAAATATTCTTTTATCAAAAATATTAATTGTATTAATGGCACTTCTACTTCCAGGGCAGATCCAGAGACGAATTTGGGGAGGGGAAATTCAAAATATTTTCATTGAATATGTCACATTACAGACTTTGTAACTTAGAAAAGTTACAAAATTCAATTAGATAAATTAACGTAAAATTAAGCTGAACTTTCAAGAGCAGTTCAAGGACAAATCGACAATTACTTGGGTTATACAATTCATCAGCCACTGTGTATCACGGAAACATTAACTATTCCCATACAAGGTCCCCAGAGCTATGTTGTTTAATTACATATCATAAGATAACCATATTGATTTTTTATTAGCAATATCTTAAACCTTGAGCCTCATTTCAAAATCAAATTGTATCCAACACTGGCTGTCTTGTGAAGCATTGCTCATTGCAGTGATGCAGCTAATCAATACTGATCCTTACCAATACATACACCAAGTACAGTTTATATTCAGCAAAATGGTAGGACATTTAAGAAGTTTTCTTTTTTACACAGTTCATTGTTCATCCACAATGTGAAACATCAAGCAGAATCTTTTGAAAAGTAAATTTTCTAGGAACCAATGTTGAAAATGATACTATTTACTAAACTGTACATCCCACCACAATAAAAGCAGTTGTTTACGTGAACTTTATTTCAGCCATGTTAGCAAGTGTTCATGATATAATATAGTCTTCAAAACTCAAAAAAAATTAAATAAAATAAACTGATGTTGTGATCCACTGTTTCATTGTTATTTAGCTTTGGACATTTTTCTGACTTGCCCCTAGACGAAACTGTCACAAGCAACAATTATCATCATTATTATCCAGAGAGTGAAAGGGTTAAAAAAATAATAATATGTGTTTATTAAATTGGTACTTTTAATATTTTAACTGTAAATTTTTATCTCTTATGAATTGCAGTTCATCTAATAATAAAAATAAAATTAAAAAAAAAGGTTAATAACAGTATGAACTGAATTAACTACATATTGTTGACATTTTTCTACATACAATAGATACACATTAAGATGTTAACTGGTCACACTCATCTTGAACTAATTACTGGAAGAAATGTTCAAAAATATTTCAAAATTCTTATTATATTTGCATATACCATTAGACAAGGTATAAAATTATGTAGTTAAAAAAGATAAGTACACTTAGTTCCCTACACAAAAATAAGTACACTTCACAACTAATAGCTGTACAGTTGTTTACTTTCAACCATTCATTATCACAATATCCAATGTCCCATCATATCTCGTAAGCAACAACCAGCACTGAAAGTTGTCTACCCCCATAAAAAAAAGACAATTTTCATCCCACTGAAGAAACCCAGCTGTTGTATTCCTACTGAATTATTTCCACAACAATGGAATAACAAAACAAGTGACAAAAAGAATTGCACTACTTTACATTAGAAGTATGACCTCTGTGGTCTAACAATTTTATTTAAAGAAAAATGATTTTAAAAAAATCATTCAATGAAACAGCAATTTTGACTCAGTATAACACTGGTTAAATTCTGTTTGACACTATTCATCCTAGCATAGGTCTTAGGCAACTTTTAACTAAAGTCACCACTATGTGCTCTTGAACATTTATTTATAGAAACTCAAATAGGATAACAAGAACTACCTCACTAGCAGACAGGTCTTTTCTCCTACTGGTAGAACTGGAGTCCAAATCAAACTTTTTGTCCAAAAGACCAACAGTCACTGATCCCTTAAACACAACAATAAAGTGTCTAGTTAGAATTAATAATTTAACTGAATGTACTATTTTTATTTCAAATCTTTTCAGGTTATGTGCTTTTTAATTAATGACAGTTACTGACATTTAGCATTCAGTAATTACATTTTCACAATATGTCTAGTACAGAAAAGAAACACATAAATAAATGAAATTAATGTACTATATGAAAATACAAACAATGCAAGCATGCATACACACTCTTTCATTTCTCAGGTCCCTGTGAAGAAGATGCTCCACTGAAGAGCCAGTAGCTTGCTTCAGATCATGGGTTAGTCGATGTGGACTGCGCATCACAACTTCTAGACAACTGTCACCATATCAGGTACCCCAACCACAGTAAATCATCCCCAAAATTGAGGCAAAAATACAACCTTCTTCCTTCAGGCAGGATGTTATTGAAATATCTGTAAAAACAGAGGTCTTGTCTCATCTTGACAATTTTGATCATAATAATAAAATAATGCTACAACAAAAAAATCACCTCAGTACAAGTGTTATTTCACTAACATGACAAAACAGCATGCTAAATGCCTTACGAGTTATCTGCATATCAATGAACATACCTTCGTTGTACATAAAAATTTCTTTGAAATGCTAGTTCTGACCGCCTCTCAGTGATGAAAATTCTTCACCATACGTGGGGCTCCCCAACAAAACAGTACCATTCTTGGATATACTTTCTTCTTACGCTTCCCATGAGCAGTACACACAATAAACTCCATAAGCTCTCAATAATTTAACATTTGCGAGCAGTAAAAACGTAAGCTTTAATCTGGAACGCCACAAATTTGAGGTGAAGTAGTAGACAGTACCCTTTTCTTTACGGCGGATGGGTTCGGAAGATCACAAGATTTTGGTATCCCAGGGAAATTATGCACTATGCGCACGTTCATAAGTATTTAATAACATGTATAAACAACACCTGTCTTCTGTCTTCACAAATTTCACCTGTTTTTACCCAAATGGCGGCAAAACGCACATACATCCACCATAGAGCGCAACGAGACAAACGACAACAGCAACGCGCTGTTGCCAACATTAAAAACAGAACGCGTTCAGATAGTTTAGCGTTGAGAACGATCGATCACCACACTAAAAAGATTGAGGAAATACATAATTATGTTGAGACGTGATTACGGCAAATAACATTTAAAAATTAATAAATAAAATGAAAGTAAATCTCTGAAAAATTTTTTTTTGATATTGGAAACATTTTCTCGCTGTGTAATAAAAGATGATCGTGTTTTCTTGTTACCACAAAACGAATACGTTACGCCAAGAGAGCTTTAGTGCAGACGCGTACAAGAACGCACACCGGGGTAGCAACATGGACGCACGCACGCGCCAATGTGGCTTCTGACAGGACGCGAATAGTCCGGCGTAGGGATAACCTGTATTTGCAGGTTATAAGAATTGGTCATATTTGAATCGTTGATGTTCTGTAAATGTGAAACTTGAAAGACGACATAACGGACTGTATATTTTTTAGTCGTCATACACAATTGCTGTTTTGGGCAGCGTCGTCAATATTGTACTAAATTAATTGTGAAAAATTGAGGATTCTCAGTCCAGAATGTATTGCCATGTTTTTGTGGAAATGAATAACATGTATAGAAAGTTGACACCATTGTCTCGTAGTCAAATTCAAAATTCCATTATAAAAATGCCATATTTTTCCAGTATCAAATCTTTAGCGAAGCTAATAACTAATTTTCAGTATTCGTTTTGTAGTACCTGAATGGGTCTGGCTAACGGCGCCAAACTAAAGAGCATACCAAAAGTGTTCGTTGTGATGACATAAAAGGCATAATTTTTCAATTTAAATGTTCAATTAGAACAGATGTTAGATGTTACTTTTGATCTTCACGAGTCGACTCCAACGTTGCGGGATCGGTCAACGAAAGTGAAGAACGAGTAACGGGAAGGAGGGCATTCTGTTTACATCACGATCTTGAAGCCTGTTAGGAGGCATGGTGGGGGTACGAAAAACGTCGGCAGCTACACAGCGCATCACGCATTTCAGCGACATCATGTAGAGAATGAAGGAACTTATTCGGGCAATAACGTCGGCCGTTCTCGTAAGCCATCTACATCTGGTAGTACATGTGAGTGAGTATAGATGGCGTTAAACATGACACATGAGCTTGGTGGTCATTGGCCGTAAATGTCTGTGAAGGTTCCTTCATTGACCGCGTGATGTCGCTGACTTACAGATAAGTTGATTAGATGACGCTTTCCATACCTTCCCCTCCAAAAAACATCCACACAAGTTGAGTCCTCCAGTCTTCATGGAATTACTTTCGGAAATTATGCATTACCCAGGATCAAGAAAATGATAAATCACTTAGGTCAGGATCGGTTTAGTATGAAGGCACATAGGCTACAGTACGCAAAGAAATATATCTCGTGGCAGCTCGTGTCACGAGCCACGGGCTTTTGCAACGTAATGTTGCGGAGGGAAAACAACAAATTTTCGATACAACTCTTATTGTCGGGCCCTGGTAACGAAAAAATTGATAAATCTTGTCCCTATATTAAATTACTTCCTCTTAACACACTGTGTAGACAGAATCCATGTTTTGTAGGTCCTTGTTACCGAAAAATCGATTGATGGCGAAACTTCTCTCCGTCTATGGTCAATGCTAGCGCCTAAACCGTTAAGCCGATTTTCTCCAAAATTTATATTCCCTAATCGATCTGCCTGATGTTTGAAACGATTCCTGGAATTTGAAACCGATATTTGAATTTTAGGCGTACTTTATGCAATCTCTATGAAGCATTTTCAAAACTTTAAAAAAGGCACGTGGCGTACAGAACGCAGACAAATTGACTCCACCGTGTTGAATTTCTAAGTATTCGAGAACGTGAGAATTCAGTGTATCTGATCGAACTACTTCATTCGTGTATCTTATCTTCAATGTCTCTACACTGATTGTTGTGATTTTGCAACGAATTGAATTGGTCTGTGTGTGTGGTGTTTTTTTTCTTTTTTACTGTTGGTGCAAGTGTCAGACATGGAAACCGAAGCCATTATCTAAAAAATGTGTGTCCCTCTAGTAGAGACTTCAAACACACCATGAACAGTTAAATGTGTAAATGCTCTTATATTATACATAAGTCAGAAAGCCGCAAAACGAGAATAGATTCGATTATTCAAAACTTTGGACAAAAGTCTTGTAAGCAAATAAATGAAGAGACGATTACTGAATATTCAGATGTGAAAAGTACGAAAATGAATTTACAAGATGTTAGGCGAATGGAAAATAGAATCTAATGATAGTAAATAGGAAGAACTTTTAACATTCTGCTAATACTGTTTCTATTATTTCAGAAATCTCAGGAAAAAAATCTCGCTTACGCCTCTCTTATCAAAAAACAACGAATGTCCTAAGTGCTCTTCTGTTATTTAATAGGAATACATTTTATTAATACATTGTTTTATCATTAAACATAAATTGTAGGCGGTGAGAAAAAAATGTGTTGAATTTATGTTTGAATCTTCCGCCATTTTTTCGAATAATTGAATTTTTTCAAATGTTTTTATGAAATGTTAGCAGATAAATGTAAATAATCAATATTATGAAATTACAAATGAAATTTCGAATCGTAAGATCATAAAAATTAAAATATTATGAGAGGAGTCAAATTGAGTCCATATATGTTTTCTCATTTCCGAATATCATGTCTTTAGTTACGAGAAGAGAGATGTGCTAGTCTCATTATCGTTAAAATTCCTGTTTTTTTGAATTCGAATTTTTTCGGCGTCTTCCTACAACTATAATATTAAAGATAGAGATTTGTATCCGTATAGCGAAATAGCTTCTCGTTTCAGTTCTTCCGCTTACGAACAAACCCTTGGCACTCCCCTGCGAAGTTTATGTTGCTGAATATTCAAACTCATTGTTTGACAAGCAAGGTTTTCAACTTGCAGATCGCTGTGTGAAATATAATTTTCATATTCTCTTCTCTACAGTCTTCAGAAATAAAACATGATAATTCCACTACTTTTTCAAGAAAAGATAAATTACAAAATTTCTCAAGGTCATAATGGACAAGCTACAGATGAACAAAGACTAATCGGCTGAAAAGGAGAAGAATGAAACCAGAATCCGGAGTAGTTGTAACGGTTGCTTCAAATCAGGATTCGATACTATGGCATCATGAAAAAGTGGTTCTCGGAGGGTCTCGGGTTCGAATCCCGCCTTGGGTATGGATGTTTGTGTCCTTGTTGTCAATGTTCTCCCTGCAATTAACCTCTGTTATAAACAATCACTGAGGTCGCTATATGAAATAGTAGTTAAAAAGCGACCTTAAAAAAGATCTACAAAAGTTGTTCTCTAAATGACCCAGGATGGTAAATTAGATGACCAGATCTTAACAACCAAAAAACAGAACAGTGTGAAATTTCCTGGACTAAAAAACAGAACACTCTATGAGCGTCACAACTCTAATGAATTTCATTCAAGCGCAGTTTTGGGTTGGCCGTATTGATATAAAACAGTCATTACAAGTCTCCGTATTTGAAAAATATTTGTCTACAAAAGAACCAGAAAATGAAAAGAAATGCCAGAAGAGAACATTAGATAGTGCGGTCGATAGGGAACCAAAAGGGTTCTACCTTGCAAAAGGTGAGGTAGACGATTTTATTTTTTTTATTTTGTTCATTTTGGTGTATATAACGGGCATTTTTTGGGTTTTGTGTAATAACGTTTTAATGGTTCATCTAAGTGCAAAAATAGTTATGTATAATACCATATTAAAGGTCATAAAATTGTCTACAAAATTGCTTCATAAAATATTTCTCTCAAGTAAATAGTAACTGCTACGACATTTTAAAATTTCACTACATTTTCCTTTTTATTCTGAAGTTGTTCAAAATTACTAATAGTCTCTCTAATGTAGTAGTTTTAAATTCCTAAAAGAATTATAAATAAAAAGCGATTAAATACTAATGTTTTTAATACTTACTGAAGTTAAACTCGCAAGTTCTGATAAAAGTGACCTATACGTTCTGGCAACTAACACGATTTACTTACATCAAAAGCATTTCAATAGAATAAAATGACGTTCGTTATTTTCTTCTAATTATATTTATTATTATATTTATTATTATTATTATTATTATTATTATTATTATTATTATTATTATTATTATTATTTTCCCTCTACATCCCGACTATGCTGTTATGAGTCGGCTGAATATAAAATCTTCTCCAGGTTACAACCAGCCACCTAAGAAATAAATCTAGTGACTATCAGTGCCTCTACAACACTTTACGCAAAATGTGAGCTGTTCAAAATGAAGCAATTTCTTGCACTTCCCAGTCTTTTAAAAGACCTGGGAATTTAGCCAAGTTCGTACACAAATTTTGTGGAATAAATTCGAGAGCTACGATGACTATCGATACGACCTGTGCTTTTACGCCACATATTCGGCTGATATCGATTTCCTTATTATGAGGGGCCGATGGCGCGCTTCGCAGTTCTTCATAGGCCCGTGTTATGACAATCGGTTTCGATGCGAATGCCCCAGGCAGACCCACGAGACAGCGAGCGGCGGCCGTTCTCACTTGGTGAATATAATAATAATAATAATAATAATAATAATAATAATAATAACAATAAGTGTAGTAGTTTCTTGTTCACTTCTCAGTGTCCCTTCTTTTTCTTCATGTCTATCACTTCATCCTCACTTTTCACTGGCTTATGGATGCTCAAATAAAGTCACATTCCAGACTTCTTACCAGGTTATCTTTTGCTGTAAGGCCAAATACACCAACAGCAGTCACGTATGGAGGCACATGCATACACCTGCCCAGTAACAATAAAGAAATAACCGAATTTAAACATATAACATGCGAATCAGACATAGAATGGTCAATTATAGAAATTCCCAAGCAACAAGTCTTACTTCTAAGCATTTACCGAGCATCTGGAAATCTTCAGATATTCTTAAAAAACTTAGATATTAATTCAAAATTGAGCAAACTCAATCATTCTTTTCGAATAATAACAAGACACATTTGAAAGAGTTCGAAAATGTATTTTGCAAATATTCACTTCATACTCAAATACGGAATAATAATTATTATAATCTGAGGCCAAGCACCAGAGGCTTTAAAATACAAAAGAATCATTCGGACAATAACAAATTCAAAAAAAAAAAAAAAAAAAAAAAAAAAAAAAACCTTTGG